ATCGCTAATATAAACCGATTACGACTATGAGACTGACCACTTACCTAAGACCGAGCGGTCATGCACGGGTAAGACTAAAGAGATCGAACCCAATTAATGACCGAATATCTGAACATGAACGAGCGGTCAACAACGAACGCTTAGTTTTCTACCTAATTCTGCAAATACTTCTGCAGATTTATGAACCAGCTAGAATTACCAAAACTAAATACTGTTCCCAATTTCACCATCACACTTTCTCACAATTCACATAGTCATTGAACCATAATTATACAACATCACAAACCTCATGAACATAACATATAATACTCCACACAAATATCATCGAACATCAACTCATTCAGATCAATATGCAGAAAACTTCAACATTTCCAATATCAACCAAACATCCCAACATACCACCATTTAACATGCAACCATACTAACATGCAACAATCCATACACAGAAGAATCATAATTAAATCACAAGCTTCTCTTACCTCTTAACTGGACTGAACAACTCTACCACTTCAGAAATTTGCTCTTAACACCAGAAATCTCAAGAACCTATAGTTCACCGATTTGCGGTAATGTACCAACCCAAAATACCAGAAAAAGTGATCAGAATCTAAGAAGAAGAAGCTGATGAACACATGCAATCAGAAACTTGACTTGCATGTGCCAAGAAACAAAATTTCTAAGAAGAGGATGAACTTACCGACTCTAAGCTTGATTTTGATCGGTGGAATAAAATGATCTTGACTCCTAGATTGCTTAAATGGTGGCTGTTTGAGAAAAAAATGAAAGAATATGAAGAATTTCTAGAGAGAAGGAGGAGAAAAGTTAGAGGATTGAGTTTTTAGAGAGATACAGATTCTGAGAAAAAATGAGATGAGTTGCGGTTTGGAAATTTCTATAAAAATACTCAATCTCTTTATTTAAGACATATGTCCTTCCTTTCCACATGTCATTTTCAGGAACTTACACCAATAGAGAATAAATTAAAGTAACTTTACTAAAAATATATTATTTTTGTGTCCAAAAAGATTAGTTAAGATTGCCTCATACATAAAAATTGAAATTAAAACCTTATATTTCTCTAAATCCATATCNTTCACTATTCTATAATATTATTTAGACTTTTTCTTTTCTTTTTTACAATAATACTATTAACATGTTTGAAGATAGGTTCCATGTAAACTACTAAAATTAACTATTATTATAGTAATTATACTAATGCTAACTGTAAGAGTGTGTTTAAAGGATATTGTAGGGAATGAGTACTAGCACCCATGGGAACTCTTTTAAGGGAAATTTGTCCTCACTTCTCTTCTATTTTATTACATACAAGTTCTATTCTATTACATACAAGTGAACCAACCAGTATTCGATTATATTTATAAGATTCATCTTTTGTTGTAAGCTTTATAATGATCTATGGTTTACGTATAAAATATTTAGATTTAGTGATATGATCTCAAACTGGTCTTTCAAAAGAAAAAAATTTAACAATTTTGCTTTCTTAATTTCTTTAATTGTCGGGGAAGTGTTTTGCTTGCATTACAAAAGCTTTCTTGGACTTTTTTATTTATCTTGAAATGAAAAATTGNGAAAGAGGACAGTTCTAATTGCACAAAAGCAGTAGAACCATAAGCCCTAGATTTTGAAAATAGCGGAGAAAAGAGGAAGCCACTTACCGGCTGAAGGACGTAAAACCAATAGGATGGTTTTGAAGCTCTCTACGAGACGGTCGCTAGGGTACCATCTAACAGAACATGCAATGGCTAAATCAGTGTGGAGGCTAGAGAGAAGGCAAAAAAGAATTTGGGAGAAGAGGTTTTAGAGAGAGAAAGGAGAATTGACAAATGAACTTCAGCTTTTTCTTTTTAGGATAGCCCCCTTACCAAGGTCATGAGTCCAAATTGCTAAAGGTCTGGCTGCCACAATTAAGGTCCAATAGCCCTGGATCCAAATTTTTAGGTCCTTACATAGATAATTTCTTATTATGAATAAATATTTAAATTTGAAAAATAATTACTAAAATATAAAAGAGTAAATAATTTTTTTATAATAAATAATGATTTGAATTTTAAAAAATATTTATTAAATAATAAAACTAAAAGATAAATATTTTATTATAAGTAATTATTTAAATTTTAAAAATAATAATAAAAGAATAAAATTAAAAAAAATAAAAAATACTGTCCTCCTCGGAGATAATGTGTTGTTGACAAGTTTAATGATAAAATAACAATAATGTTGTTGTGAGAGATATTAATATCATATCATATATTCATATTCATCTCACCACGAGATTCTGGTTCTGTTTTGGCCACCCACACAACACCACCACATTCTCCCAACTCGCTCCGAGTTGACTCACTCTTTCCCTTTCAAGATCAATAGCTGCCAACCCAGCCTCCGCGCTCCACTGTCACTGCAACCACCGCCACCCTTCTACGTCAATGCAAAACTCCTCGTCGATTCTCTCCGGAACCTTCTCCTCCTCTTCCTTCCCCTCCGGCCTTTGACTTTTGCTTTCGAGCGAATCCGATGAGTCCCTTTCGATCTCTTCTGCTCTCCGTCGTCGTATTCTTACTCCTCTGCCCCCTCGACGCCACCGAGGGCGACGCCGATCCACTATACATGTTAGTCTCTCTCTTGATATCCATTTATCTATCTCTATCTATAGTTAGAGTTAGAGAATCCCGGATTTCAATTTTTGAATCTAAGCGTTTGATTAAGTGCTAGGGACGCAAAGAAATATGGGATTGATTTTTCAATGTTTTAGGTATAGTAAAAATTGGAACTTGGATTTTCTGTCGTCTTTCTGTCGTTTTTCTGTTAAGAAGGGGAATACCAACCGGACACCGAAAAATGGGGGGTGTATGGGTGAAGAGAATAAAGAAGGTATAGAGAGAACAAATAAAGGAAGAGAGAGAAAGTGATAACTATGTTATATATATGTTGCGATTAGAAATGAAAATGAAAAAGAAATGAGGTGAAAGGACATGAACGAGAAAGTATATGTATTCTGATAATAATAATCTGTTGAGAAATGTTTTGGGGTGGAGTTGGAAATTTTAAGGGGATGTTATTTGTGTGTTGTGGTTAGATTTGTCTGACTGTAGGATTTTCGGGTTTTGCATAGATGCATTGAATGATGAAGATGCACTTCTTTTACTTGGTTTGTTGTCATTTGTCAAGCATGGAGGGTATAGATGTGAGATTAGACGTTTCTGAGGTTATGTTATCTTATGTTACATGATTAGTTTTTTGGTTGTTTTTCTGAGTTCCATTTGTTTCTTTAATTACCTTTGATAGTTTGTGGAAGTTCCACTGCTTAGCGGGTGTAATGGGAAATATTGTCGTGTTGTTCAGGCTTAGAATGCGAATTATGGGTTATTTTCTTTTTTTGGCAAATGCCAGGGAGTGACATAGGATGATGAGTAATAAAACAAAAATAGAAATTATTTCATGAAAAGGGAAATATCTTATACTAAAAATGAAAAACAAAATCCATTTAGTACTTGTGCTTTTTAGGTAATTGAAAGTGTCCGGCAAGTTGTATTAAAGTTTCTTTTCACTAATGTCCTAACATGTTAGTAGAAGCTGTAGAACCCTCTATTTTACTTGTTGGAGAATTTTAGATGGTGATATCTGTATTCTGTGCTAACCAAGAGGTGCCTTATTTTGGCTTGGAATGAATGACATTAATTATTATTTGTATTTTAAGGAGAATGCTAACAAGTGACCTGATAGCACTGGTACTTAGTTAAGTATTAATAAGTAGAATTTATTTTGTATAAGTGTAAAACTATTCTCAGTATGAACCTTTTATTTATTGATTTCTTCACCATTAGGTCACTCATTTGTTTAAACTAGACAAATTTTCAAAATTGAGCTTGGCTTTGGCAAAAATCTGAAGATTAGGCCTGACTTATTTAACTCGTGTATGGCTTGATTATTTTTATGATTGAAACTTAGCTAAAAGATGAAATAAATTCGTATTAAACTATAATTTTATATTTGTGGAGGTGTCTTGGTGACATGTTGGTCACGGGCTTGAGTCCAGAAATAGTCTCTTTTCATATTATACAAGTTGAAGACTATTTACATTATCCTCCCTCACCTTTTTGGAGCGAGGAGCCTTTGGCACTGGTATATTAGTTGTTAGTAGTAGTATTCATAAAGATGACATAAGATTAAAAGGGAAATCTTTGATGACGGAATGGTGAATTTTAAGAGAACTTGTGGTCATCCATTTAAAATACGACTATTTAAAATTGAAAATAGGTAAATGGTATGTACCGGATATATAACAAAAATGAGAGCAAGAGAAAAGTAGACAAAGCGGCTAGATATTGCCAGAGAGTCACTGGAGGGTCGCACAGGGTCATGCAGTACTTGCAAGTGAGGCATGATAGTACTTTAAAAGGTTTTTCTACAACCTGAAACCCTTTTTATCCAAATCCCAAAATTACCTCCGTAATGAGTGCCCTTCTAATGTTAATATATTGGAGGGCTTCTTCACAAAATTTGACAGCATCAGCAAAGCGGGCTATAGTGCCACAGAGTGGTTGTTATGCCGATACAGCACACTATTTTATATAAGGATTAATCTCACATTTCAACTGCATATGTCCTAATAAACAACATCTTTGAGATCACTGCAATAAGTAAGCTTGTATATTCCGAAGTTATGGCAACTGATTTTTAACTTTTGTTAGACGTTTAGTTGGGTTTCATACTTGTTTTCATTTTGAACAAGTCTTATAGCTCAAAACTTAAACTGATAGAATCTTATTCTTTTCATTATATTCTACAGACTTTTATATATTCATAGTGCCCGTGTTCAGTTTAATCTACTCTCACATTTATGCTTTCATGAAGGAATTTGAAAATCTAGTTAGAGATATGCATTGTAATAATAAGAAAATGGCGACACTTAAATATAGTCACTTGTCAGTAGTAATTAAATAATAAGCAGAATGATAGATGCAAAAAACTATATGTATTTTGCTGATTGATCTAGCATTGACTTGTATGGTAAAATATTTACTTCTGGTTTTATGTACTTTCCATGTTAAATAACAGTACAATAGTCATCCTTTGCTCTATTTTTGACTTGCCTGCCATATGATCTATTTTGGCTGTGCCTATTAAATTGCAGAGATTGTGTGGAGCTGTGTAAGAAAACTGGATGTGTAGGGGATAGATGCTTTCAACATTGTAAATTCTCATCAGATGGAAAACCAATTGATGGTCCATGGTATATGCATGAACCCCTCTACCTGAGGTGGAAACAATGGGACTGTTGCACTGACTGTAGCTATTACTGTATGCTAGCTAGAGAGGAAGAAAGAACAAAACTTGGTGACAAGCCCGTCAAGTATCATGGAAAATGGCCATTCAGGCGTGTTTATGGAATTCAGGTTCCTTCATGAATCTCTAACGCAAGGTTTAATGATAATATTGATAACATTGTTTCAGTTTTTGATTGTGGTGCGGATATGCTATGCATGATTTCAGGAACCTGTTGCTGTTGCTTTGTCTGCTGTCAATCTTGCCGTTCAATTTCATGGTTGGGTATCCTTTTTCATTCTTGTGTACTATAAGTTGCCTTTGAGGCCAGATAAGAAGACTTACTATGAGTACACTGGATTGTGGCATATTTATGGGATTCTATCCATGAATTCATGGTTGTGGAGTGCTGTTTTTCATAGTAGGTAAGTTGTTTGAATGATTTCCTTTTGGGTTTGTGCTGTATTTATAAAATCATGATTCAGTGCTATTGAAGCAATAATCCTCAAAAGCACAGTTGTTTCCGGCACTGTGCCTTATTATTGATTTCCAGGCACTCCTGTGTATGTATTTGGTGTAGTGACATAAAAATTGGCCTTTCATGCTACAATGATCTAAATTCATTATATATATATATATATATATATATATATATATATATATATATATATATATAACAACCTTATTGTACCTAAGCGAACTTGTTAAATAGCTATTTTAAAAGTTATTCCAGATGATACATAATTAACTGTAAGTGTAACTTTTTGTATCCACAATACAAACAGAAAATCAGAATTTTTTTTTACTGTAGATAAAAATTAAACGCAAAAGTTTATCTATGAGCAGATTATAGAAACCATACCCAGCGATTTAGAAATTAGGAGTATAAAAAGCAGTTATTAGAATCTGAGACATCGGTAAGTTGGTTTTGTCTATTCTAAGAGGGAACAGGTCTTCAAACCGTGTTCAAGTGGGCGACGTGGCTCATATTTAAAGAGAGAAAAAGGGAAATTGGTCTCCGAAAGGAAAGTCCGAAGACATACTTTCTATTTGTAAGAATTTCTCTTCAATTATTGCGGCATTATTGCAGGGTCAGGAGTCAATTTTTTCCACATGCTTCAGTCCATGAAGAACTGTTGAGAGATTATTACAAGTTTCCATTTGAATAGGTTGACTCAATCCAACTGAAATCAGGACAAGGAGTTTGATTCTTATCTGCTTTTTTCAAGGCAACCTTGCATTTAAAATATTTTTTAGGATAAAGTGTGGTCTTAGTTTGTGATGGACCCATCTTACACTTGGCAAAACAACTAATGTCAGCCATTACGGTTCTGTCAAGTTTGAGGTTCACCTTTCACACAAATAACTAACTCTGCTTTTCCACTTTAAACCAGATTCTTCTTTTATTTAATTTACATATGTAAACTATAAGAGAAGCACTTGATTCATATGATACTTCGACAAAAAGGGTTACAAAAGAAAATCTTTTTAGTCCCTTTCGATCTTTCTACCTGTATAACTGGTATCCGTACTACTAATAAAAAAAACCAGTACAGACACTCCACACTCCAAAACTTGAAGCAAAAAGCAAACCAGACCAAACACGGTATCAGATTGAGAAACTCCACAGTGACACCTCAGTATCTTGATGAGCATCCAAGTCAGCATCTTCGTACTCATACCCTAAGCAATGTGATGGGGACATGAGCACCATGTTCCTCAGCTGCTCAGGTATATCCAACACTTGCTCTTCGTGATCTTCCTCCATGTAAAACACGCCTTGTTCCGTTGTTTTTGTCACCTCCTCCAAGCACTCTTGTCTAGTGTTACTGTTCTGTGAACTTTGGTCTGGTCTGAAAGCTTCCGCAGCTTCTGCTGCTGCCTTTTGTATATCCTTGGCGCTGGCACTAGCAGGGGCTGGTAACCGCCACCTCGAGTCGGCGAAGTTGAGACAGGCATACCGGCCCCTGAGGGCCATCGCCGCCACATCGTGAGCCCGCGCCGCCATCTCCGGGGTGGGGAAAGTCCCCAGCCAAATCCTGCTCTTTTTGTTTGGCTCCCTCACCTCACACACCCATTTGTCGGAGTTCCTACTCCTCACTCCGCGGTACACTGGGTGGCGCGTCTCCCGGAACTTCTTCCGGCCCGCCCTCTTCTTGGGATGCCTGACTGCCAGCAGAACCTCCTCGTCGGAGAATTCGACGGACGGTGGAGATGAAGAATCGAAAGAAGGGGAGAGCTGAGAGGAAACATGGTACAATCCAAACATAGTATGGTACGAAGAGGAAGGTAAAAGGTTGTGGTTGATAGGGAAAGTGGGAAGTGAAGTGAGTTTAATGATGTAAAGGGTGTTTGGATGTTGTTCTCTTCTGTGGTTTGAATATATAGATGAAGGGTTTGGTTTTGGAGAGAGAAAGAGGGAACACGGAGTGTGAGAGTGGGATTTTGAGTGTTGAGAGGAGCCAGCTGGTTGGCCAGTTGGGGAACTTGTGATTGGCTTTTGACTGAATCTGAAAGTGAAAGAGGAAAGTGAGGAGAAAAGTGTGCGTTTGAGTCAGTGAGTGACGAGCCAAACAAGGAGTTAATCTGCCATGTGTGTGTTTGACAGAGTCCTTGGATATTGTGTCAGATTCGGAAACAGTGACACTCTTCAAATCAACTGTATCATTTTTTTCAAAAATACCAAGATAGATAAAATAACTATCCTTTTTTCTTTATAAAAAAAAACTAGTTTTAAAAAATACCAAGATAGATAAAATGAGCTGTGTTTTTTTTTTCTGATATTATGATAGGTTGTGTAGGTCAAAAGTGTTGTAGCTAAAGATAAAATTTTAAAATATTTTAAGTGCACTTTTTTTTTTATCTTTATTACCTCTATTTTTTTGTTCTAAGTTTCTTTTTTATGTTGAATAATCGTTTTAGTTATTTTTTTTTCAAAAATTAGTATATCAGATAAGATATTAAGATTTTTTTAATGTCATTTTAGTAACCACAAATGTGTTGAATTTAAAAAGTTAAAACATTTTTAATGTTTGAGATTGCACTCCACCTGAATCTTTCTTTTTATTGCTAACTAGATGTTCTTTACGTTTTGAAATGGTAAAAATTTCTCTTTTTTAATACCTTTGAAATCAAAGTTATTAAGTTTTTCTAAATTTTACAATATAGAACAAACTGTCAATTCTCATATGATACATATGTATTATGTTCAATTTTTAATATTTTCCCATACAAATAAGTTTTAGGGATTTAAAAAAATAAAAGGCAAATTGATAAACACAACAAAAATAAAAAACCTAAAACTAAGATAAGAAAATAGGTCAGTCCAAAGATCCAAGAATCAAGCATCCAAGTTTCATCAATTAATCGATTCAATTATTATCAATTAAATTGACTATATTAATCAAATCAAAATTTCATTCAACCTAGTTATTCTTATTTATGAAATCAAACTTCAACCAGTTCTTAATTTGATTAAAAAAAAAAGAAAAAAACAACATGCAGTCATTAAGAGCAAAACTAAGATTAAAAAAGAAAATAACAAACTAATAATGATCAATAATTAGTACGAAAGTAAATTCAATTTGTTTAATCTTAATTTTATGATTTTATCTCAATAATTAATTCTCCATTAATAAAAATACTAAGAAAATTTCATATAAAAATGTGAGAAGAAAAAACAAAACCTAAAATTGAAAGGAAAAAAAAAAAAGAAGAGAAAAGATGAAAAGGTAAAACTGAAAATTTAATACATGATTTTTGTCTTAGTTTAAAATACATTTAGGTCATGTATAACTTCTAAAATCTGAAATAAAATATGATCTTAACGTTCTAGTTATTCCAATTATAATTTGAAACTAATATAAATAACATATAATAATATGATTTATTTATAAAACTTCAACAAATCTATTTTAATTAAAAAAATCATACAAAATAATATAGAATTCCAAATCCAAAAGATTTATGTAAAAATTTAAAACTCTTAAAATATAAAATATAATGTAATTAAAACGAACAAAAGTATTATCCATAAAAAAACTTATGATCAAAACAGTTAATAAATATTATGTAAGCTGAAAATACAAAACCAACTAATTTATTATTATTAAAATAAAAAAGCTAAAGATTGAACGTAAATTATATAAATATAAATAGGTATACAATACTATATATACACTAATTCATACAATGTATTAAAGAGAAAGAAAAAATAATAATGAATGTTGATGAATAGTTTGAAAATAAAATAATAATTGTTCTTAGGTGTGGGGTAGGAGGTGAAGGCAACGGGGGTGAGAATAGAAAAGAATAGGTTGTATTCAATGGGATGAGACGAGAGTAACCTAAGTTAGCTGGAGTCGCGTACGGAAAGTGATAGATTTTGGGGAAAATGAAAAGACAACTATTGTACAGGTGTGCATCTTAGATTTCCAAGGCTTTGCGCGTTTCTTTTCTTCATCGGTATATTCCCCCACTTCATGCACACGTACAATATCCTATCCTAAATAAATAAACTACTGCTTTCCAAATACGTACATCCATCACTATTCTATAATATTATTTAGACTTTTTCTTTTCTTTTTTACAATAATACTATTAACATGTTTGAAGATAGGTTCCATGTAAACTACTAAAATTAACTATTATTATAGTAATTATACTAATGCTAACTGTAAGAGTGTGTTTAAAGGATATTGTAGGGAATGAGTACTAGCTCCCATGGGAACTCTTTTAAGGGGAATTTGTCCTCACTTCTCTTCTATTTTATTACGTACAAGTTCTATTCTATTACATACAAGTGAGCCAACCAGTATTCGATTATATTTATAAGATTCATCTTTTGTTGTAAGCTTTCTAATGATCTATGGTTTACGTATAAAATATTTAGATTTAGTGATATGATCTCAAACTGGTCTTTCAAAAGAAAAAAATTTAACAATTTTGCTTTCTTAATTTCTTTAATCTTGATATTGACTTGTCTTCTTCTTTGTTAGAGAATTCTTAGACTTTTTTATTTATCTTGAAATGAAAAATTATTTTTGTTCGGACTAGTATGAATATGTAGCTATGACCGTTCTTCCACTCGTGGATAGGTAAACTGAAAACCTCATGAATACCATAGCTGAAACCCAAGCCGCCACATAAGGTTAGCCCTTCATCCCTCACTGTAGCTGGAAACCGCAAGCTACAACATGAGTTTAGTCCGTTAATTGGAACCCCAATTTATACGCGACCAGGCCTCCTGCTATTCTCTCCACATGTGTCACCATTCTCTACTTGAGACTCGGTGACCATTATAATGTCACGATGAACGCCAGCTTAGCATATCCCTATTTATACTTTTACCACATTGAAATCTCCACTGAGACATTCCTCCTTGAAATTCTCTTTCATATCCATATTATAAATATTTCATCATACCTTCACATTACATTAGAATTATCATACCATACTTCAATACCAACATACTTCCTCATCCATCACATTTAAGTAAAATCAAACTGAACAGTAAAACAATCACCATTCTTGAGCACGAGACTGAGAACGATCGCTAGTACGACACCGAGTGCTATCAAGAACGATCGCTAGTACAAG